ACCAGTGTTTGGTTTCAGGTTGACAGCTCAGAGCCTGTCTGCTTCCGATCCTAGGTCTCCCTCTCTCTGCTCCCAACTCCTCACTTTGTCTCACTCTGTCTCTCAAGTAAATAAATGTAAGAAAAAGACTTTTTTAATCCTTCAAAGGGTAGCCACAAGAAAAGTTGTTTCAGACCATAGATCAAGCAAAGTTGAGCCTGTCCTGCATGCAAAACAAGTGTATTTACATCTACTGGGTCTATAAAAAAAAAGTAACTTTTTATTAGACTGTGTTAGAGACATAGGCTCCATTTGCCACACTCAGCTTCCAGCACATGTCCTAATGTATTGGCAAATTAAATCCAGATAACAAACTTTGTTTTTTTCAATCATCTTATTTTTTCTTTTGTCTTCCTTCCTTTTCGATTGCCCATCTCTGTCTCCTGTTCCTTCTTTTTCCCCTCTCCTCCTTCTCTGCTCTCCCTTGTCTGTCTCTCTTCACACACACACGCTTTTTCCATTTTCATTCCTTTTTTTATGGCATTTATTTTTATAAAGACGTTACTTATGAGATGAGGCAAAATATCCATAAATACAGGCATGAGATCATGGGCATTGGGTCTCCCTCTCTCCTACCAGCACCTGTTTTGGAGAGTAGTTCTCCCAAAGACAGATCCGAGTTCTTCTGGTAGTTGTATCTATTGACCTGACACTTGCTACAAAGACTGTTAGCAGATTCTAGGCCTTAGTGTCATTTATATTTTGGAAGAGCCAGATGACCAGCTCCAAAAGTGGGTCCCTTTCAAGACCCTGATGTATCATGTGTGATACAAGCCTGTGTCTCAGCCTGTGCCTAGCAGGAATCACCTGAAGGCACAGGTACTCTATATATCAATTCTATCCAGTAAACCTGACTTTTGAAAAAAATCACCCAGGAGAGCTTGTCACACAGATTTCCGGGGCACCATCCCCAAGACCCTAATTCAGTATGTCTAGGGTATGGACTGTGAAGTTGGCCTCTGATGGCACTCAGGGGACGTAGAAGTTGCCGGGTCCACAGACCATGAAGAGCCCAATCCTGATTTCTGACGGGGTCTCCCATTAGCCACTTGGGTAGTCTTCTAAATGGCCTTGTGGAGCTTTCTATCAAAAGCCTTTTTCAGGGTCTACATCAAATTAGATTCACCAGCCCTTCATCATTCTGTATTTGTTCTCAACAAGTTTTACGAACACAGAGAAGAAGTTATGAGAACCGCGAGCAATCTTTTCCAGCCCTCAACATCCCAGTGTCCACTGTCAGCCAGTGACCAAGCCTTAGAACTACCCAGCCTGGGACTCATAGGTAACTTCAACCAGCAATTCTGGAGCATGTCCTGGGAGGCAGTTGTTGTGATTAGGACAGCAAGACTGGCTGTGTAAAGGTGTCAGTCGACATCTCCACCCGTTTTTAAAAGCATTCTGCCTGTCCTCACACGTGTGAAAGTATATAAGGACGCTTGACTTTAGTTACACTACGCTGGATTTATGGCAGTGAGTGAGATTTATATACAGTAATGGTCTTACCGCATATGTTCTTTAGCATCTTGGATTATCAGTATCATGACGGAAGAGCAGCAGCTGAATGATATGTACCAGACGATTGGTTGAGTAGCAGTACTGAACAACTTTTGCCTAGCGTTCAGCCCCTCAGAGCCACCCAGGAAGCATAGGTGGACCCCCCATGGCAGCAGAAGCAGGCTGCAAGCTCAAGCAGTCCTTCATCCAGGTGGTAGGGTAGGATTCGAACCCCTCTGCTTAAGCCCATGTTCATAGCCACCAAGCATTCTCTCAATCTTCTGGGTATCAAGGAATCTGAATTTTCACCTCTGCTTTTTCTACTGAATTATGAGTATTTCCTCCAAATATTATAATTTCAGGAAGCAATCTCGGGAGAGATAGAATGTGGTTTTAATATTTAGTGGTAGCTCCAAACCCCACAATAAGAAATACTGGACTGCCTTTTTTTTCTAAAGAGTTCTAAGAACATAGTTTTTGCCAAATAAATAAATAAATAAATAAATAAATAAGTGGGAAGGGCACCTGGGTGGCTCAGTCAGTTAAGTGTCTGACTCTTGACTTTGGCTCAGGTCATGATCTTGTGGTTCGTGAGATTGAGCCCTGCATTTGGGAGCCCAGAGAGCTCTCATGACTTCTCCTCCTCCCCTCCCCCTCCTCTCTCTGCCCCTCCCCTGCTCACCCACACACTCTCTCTCTCTCAAAAAAATATATACATAAGTGAGGAAGACTCACTCCCCAAAACACAAACATAAGAGGACCTTTTGAAAGAAGCAGTGGCAGCTGCATCTATCACGCCATTGTAAACTAGCTACCTACTGCGTCTCAAGTGTTATTTGGACAAAACAGGGCTATTGGAGTCTAATAAAGTAAGCCATAGTGAGGCGCTTAGGGTGGTCAGTGGCTGGCTGTTTTTATTCCTATCTGAAAGCCAAGGAAGGAAAATCCTGACAGGCTTGGTGACACCCCAAGCTCTTATGAGTTACAGGTGTCAGAGCTGCAACTGGGACCCATCCCTGCCCCCCACTCCACTGCCTTTGCCGCCCACTCCCAGCTTTCCCAGTACTGTCTGTGCTGCTCCCAGATGGACTTCTGGGCTTTAAGTCCTCTTCGTGGCAGCATCACTCCCAAGCACCCTGCCCCAGAGAAGCTCTTGCTACCATTTTTTATGTACAGCTTTCCCGGACTTCTTTGGATCTAAATTTCTGTTTATTTAAGTAGAATCCTATACAGACCACGTTGGAAATGTACCTAATTTCACTTACAATAATATGTCATGAACCCCTTTTTGTATCATGAACCGTTCTTCCTCAGCATCAATTTAATGGTTATTTAGAACTCCTCTGTAACTACATTCTGGTTTCTTGTCTTTAAAACAGAGTTTCATGAAGCCTATCTTAAGAGAATGATCACGGTCACTTTACAAAAGTAAAATTAGGTCACGCAGGTAATAGGTTTTAAACGCACTGGTAGCTAAAACTGCTCTGGTACCTCTGAATAGCACTGAATCTTTTGAAGAGATTGTTTTGTTTTCTACGAAGATAAGTAAATAATAAAGCCCCGCTGGAAAGCACGTGACACAGATGTCTCTGGTCCTGGACTAGTTGTTAGAAAGTGAAGGAGAGCTGACCAGGAAATGCTGCTAGGGACCAGAAATCCCAGCCATCAGGGTTCCTCTGCAACTTGATCGGTGAGGTAGGGACCTGTGGGTGTGTCTGGCTAATCCGGATCTGAGCCAAATGTCTTTTCTTTCCCCAGCAGACCCGCCTGTGGCCGCAGCTGTGGTGTCCCATTTTAATGACTGCCCAGATTCCCACAGTCAGTTCTGCTTCCATGGAACCTGCAGATTTTTGGTGCAGGAAGACAAGCCAGCATGTGTGTAAGTGTTCCCTGGTATCCTGGGGTCCTGGGGCTGGAGGCGTCCCAGCAACCAATTAAAGGGACATTGACTTCCATAACGCATGCCTGAGACCCCTGAGGCTGGGCATGTTGGAGGATCAGAAAACAGGCTGAGGGACACCTGCTTCAAACCCAGCTGGCTAGTGCGCCTGGGTGGTTCAGCGGGTTCAGCGGGTTAAGCGTCCGACTCTTGCTTTCAGCTCAGGTCATGATCTCAGGGTTTGTGGGATCGAGCCCCGAGTTGGGCTCTGCGCTGACAGTGTGGAGCCTGCTTGGGATTCTCTCTCTCCCTCGTCCTATCTCTCTCTGCCCCTCCCCCCCTCAATAAATCAATAAACATTTTTTAAAAATAATAAAACAGGTTAAACATTCAGGTTCCAGGGCCCTCGCCCAAGCCACTGAGGCATAACCGCTAGGGGTTGGAGCCTGGAAATCTGCATTTTCAGCAAGCACCTCAGGTCACTCTTGGGTTCAGCAAAATCTGAAAATTCCTGGATTCAGGTTTAATTCACCAGTTAGAATTTGTGGAGGGCAAGGCACTGGGTTGGATCCCTCCAAGTAGCAAGTCTCCAAAAAGAGGTCTTTGCCCTCCAGCATCTTTACAGCACAGCTAATAAAATAAGCTGGAAGTGCCTGCAAACGGTTAGTGTACATAAGTGGTAACAGAACAAAGAACAGCTTCGAAATAAAGATGCCTGCCAGGGCACGGTGGTTTCCACACCAGGGAGAGCATGAGCCCCCTGGGGCTTCTGAAAGTATGGCTGAGCCCCACCCCAACCCACTGAATCGTAATCTCTAGGAATGGGACCCGGGAGTCACATTAGTTAAGAGCCACCAGGGATCGCCGTGGTCAGCCAGGCTGGACAGAAAGGCGCTTTGGGAGAAACTCCCCGGAGCAGGTGTTAGGGTTTGCCTAGTGGGGAGAGCAGAGAGGTTATTTCAGACCCGGAGTGTTGAAGGACCTGCTGTTATAGGCTACCTTTTGTGGCTACAGCAGGAGGAGACAAGACTGGAGACAAATTGGAGGCCAGAGCCTATTGGAAGTGAGCCTTCCTTCTCTAGGCAGTGGGAGCCATGTTGGTTTTAAAAAGGGATGTTTTAAGACAATCTGTGCAGGGGCACCTGGGTGGCTTGGTCGGTTAAGCGTCCGACTTCGGCTCAGGTCATGATCTCACGGTCCGTGAGTTCGAGCCCCTCGTCGGGCTCTGTGCTGACAGCTCCGAGCCTGGAGCCTGTTTCAGATTCTGTGTCTCCCTCTCTCTCTACCCCTCCCCTGTTCATGCTCTGTCTCTCTCTGTCTCAAAAATAAATAAAAACGTTAAAAAAATAAAAATAAAAATCTGTGCATAGTAGAATACTATTAGGTGGCCCCCTACTCACCCTTGGCACTATTGACTTTGGGGCTGGATAAGTCTTTGCTGTTGGAATTCTCCTGTTAGCATCCCTGGCCTCTACCCACTAGGTGCCAGTAGCACTGCCATCTCACAGTCTCCAGATTGCCACATGTCCCCTAGGAGATGGGAGGGAACCTCCACCCCCATTAAAAACCACCCATCTATGGGGCGCCTGGGTGGCGCAGTCGGTTAAGCGTCCGACTTCAGCCAGGTCACAATCTCGCGGTCCATGAGTTTGAGCCCCGCGTCAGGCTCTGGGCTGATGGCTCGGAGCCTGGAGCCTGTTTCCGATTCTGTGTCTCCCTCTCTCTCTGCCCCTCCCCCGTTCATGCTCTGTCTCTCTCTGTCCCAAAAATAAATAAATAAACGTTGAAAAAAAAAAAAAAGAAATGTAAAAAAAAACCACCCATCTATATGAAGTTGCCATTTTTATAGGTCACAAATGCTGGAAAGGCAGCAATTCCATTTGGTTCAACTTAATAGCACCAGTAAGTAATAGTAAATGTGAACAAAAGCTGGCATTTATTGAGCTTTTGCTTCATGCCAGACTTCCAAGCATTCGCCATATGTTAACTCATGTAATCCCCATAATGAACCCACAGAGAGGTTGTGCCCAGGTCGCATAGCAGAGCTCACGTTCAGACTCAGATAATCTGGCTCCTGATGCTGAGTTCTTAACTATGATGCTAAGGGTATCTGATGCTTTAGCCCAGGAGAGATTGTGGGTCCAGAGAGCTGCCACAGTAAAGTGGTGGGCTGGACGATCCTCTTCCTGAGATGCAGCTGTATGAACATGGACAGGCCCCTCAGGTGGCTCTGAGCCTCACCTGGAGAAGCATGCCAGCTACCTTCCTCCAGACAGGACTGTGGGAGGCCCCCAGGTCTTGTCCCCAGAGCTTGAGCCCTCCCTACCCTGTAAACGCAAAGCACAGTGATGATGACAGTCAATCATTATTCATGATCATTTTTATTCAAATACACATAGGGGGCCCTGAGGGACTTTTTGTTAGTAGCCAAGTCATTGTGGAAAACACTAGCCCTGAAGGGAAGTTTTACCTCTGGCCCAGACATCAGGAAGCCCCCCAATGCAGCAGGCCGAAGGCATTTGACCCTCCAGCAGTGCCCAGTGCACCCGTCTACAGGTGGGGAGGATCCTCTTTGAAGAAAGAGGGCAAATCTTTGCCGAGTTCTGACCAAATTTGTGTCAGTTTAGTTTTCCTTCCTCGGGTGCCTCCCCACCAGATGAGAGGCTGGTATAAACTTTTCGAGAGCGGGCAACCTCAAGCCTGGGTCATCAGATGAGTCAAAACAACAACCTCATCTGTGGCTGAGACCCCCAGCCAGCTGGCGGAAGCCCTCTGAAAGCAGGGGAGGGGCAAGTGCTTTTCTTAGCCTCTTCGGTCTGTGCCCCAAGCCCCACTCTTGGCTCAGGGAGGTGACTGTCCATCACATTTACACACCATTGCATTTTGATAATCAGGATGACCGGCTGTCCCTCCCCGCATCCACATTATAAATATTTCTATTAATAATCAGCTTTCAATAAAAACTGCAGCTATGTGCCAGGCATGGTTCCCAGCACTCTATATACAGTGACTCATGGAGTCCTCACAACTCCATCCTCAAGTGGGAATTCTTGTTGTAGAAATGAGAAAACTGAGTCGGCTCACAGGAGCAGTTTTCCCAGAGTCCCAGAGCGAGTTAATGGTAGAGCATGGGATTCAGGCTGATCAATTCCACCTACCAAGCCCATGTTCTCAGCCACTGCCCCAGAGGGCACTCTGTCTCAGCCTTAAAAAGTTCACCTCTGTTACAAAAAAATAAATAAGTACAAGTTCACCTCTGTTTAAAAAAAGGACAGCAGGTCCAAAATGGAGTCTCTTGTGCTAAGTCCACATCACCAAACCAAAACTTAATACCTAACCTAATTGCAGTTTCAGCCTTCACCAGAAATGTGCTTAGCTAGTCAGGCTGGAATTTCCTGGTGTGCTCTAGTGAGGTAATTCACCTGATAGACCCCTTCTGTCCCCCAAAGAAAGATGAGGTCATCCACTCTTTCCCTGTCCCTGCCCCCTCCTGCTTATACAAGTCTTCCATCTCATACAGCTCCTTGGAGCTCCTTTCTAATTTGATCTTAAAATTTACAAAGTTGGGGGCACCTGGGTGGCTCAATCGGTTAAGCGTCCAACTTCGGCTCAGATCATGGGGATCTCATGAGTTCATGAGTTCGAGCCCTGTGCCAGGCTCTGTGCTGACAGCTCAGAGCCTGGAGCCTGCTTCAGATTCTGTCTCCCTCTCTCTCTGCCTCTCCCCCACTCACACTCTGTCTCTCAAAAAATAAACATTAAAAAAAAATTTATAAAATGTACTCAATTGAATTTTGTTTTTTAACACCTCAAATCACTAAGCTCTTTTGTTTCCAAGAACGGTGTTGGCACCTTTCCCCAGCATGTGAAGAAAAAGGTCAAGGTCATTCTCAGGTTCTTTGCCTTGACCACAGACTTAAAGTCCTTTCTGTGGGCTGAGTGCAGGATCTCTGGAAACAGCTGGGCCAGTCTTGTGGTTTGGAAAAGCTGACCATCTGTGGGGATGCACAGCAATGCAAGCAATTACCACCTCTTTACCTCAGTTTCCCCACTGGATCTTGACAGTCCAGGGGGTGGTATTCAGCCAACAGATAAGTTTTACATAGTGGTAGGTGATGATCTGCGTTGTTCTTTGGTAGTTTTAGTTAGTTGTCAGGATTTTAGAAGTCAGGTTTCACTCTCCATACGGATGCCCAGCCCTCTTGAATAGGCAGCATCAGGCCTGAACTCCCAAATGTGCCATGTGGCTGGAACACAGGTGCACCTGCCCCACCAGCCCCAGACAGGGCTTGCCCTCTCCGCTTCTCATTTCCACCTCTCTCTCCCCTGTTCCCCAACACTGAAGCAGATGTCAGCCCCTGATCATTCCGCTGCCACTTCTGCTCCCCTCACACCAGCCCACTTTGCTCACTTCTGCCATGTGAGCTTGTAAGCTTGGTGAGGACAAGACCACACCTTATGCCCTTTGTATTTACAGCGCCTAGAAGAATGCGATAATTAATTAATTCCCACTGGTCCAGAAACTCTGAGTCCATGCAGAGAAAGCAGAACATTCTGTTCTCACTCTTAGGAACCACCCCAGATTTGGGTCACTGACATTCTGGTCAATTTATTGACATTCTGGTCAATAAAACCAACATACCTTGAGGTAAGGCCACTATCTGTCAAGGCCATATAAAGAAAACCCACAGTGACCCAAGACTAGTCTCAAAAGAGGGAGCGCTTTCTAAAATACTGTCACGCCAAAGCTTTGTTTTTTATAAGAACAATAGTCTTTAGGTTTCCGGAAAACCTAAATAAAATGACACATCACACTAAATAAAATATGAGGTAAAGAAAAAAAGTTAAAACAAATAACTAGTCAGAAATAGCCAAAGGTAGTGAACAGAATCCTTAAACATTTATGTTTCCGATGAACCCTCAATTTTATTTTGTGTCTTCCTTTAGTTAATTCTCACTAGAACCCAATTACATCAGGAAACAAATGGAAGAAGGATTGC